GCAGAGGCTGGGACAGCGTCCTTCAAAGAGATCCATGCTAGTCCCCTCATGTGCAGTGGAGTCAGCGTGGCCAAAGATGCTCTCAGTCAGGTGTGCATGCCTAACCCATGGACAGAGGAGTGCGCGGAAGGCCCCACACTCCCTCCCTTGACCCTTCCCTGATCCTCCCGTAGTAGTGGGAGGTGCAACCAGAAAAAAGGCCTAGGTAGAAGTGCTGGGGACAACTCCAACACAGCCGTGGTTGTTGATATCACCTTCCAGATGTGACAGTAAATAGTGCACAGCTGTTTGCCCTGATAGCCAAGGATTTCACGTTGTTGACTATGCACCTGTGCTCATGAGGCATTCAGTCAAAACTTTCATACTGATGCCCAGGATATTAATTTTTTGTGAGAAATATTTTCATTTGGCAAAGACTTCATCTCTCAGGCAGATGCCCAGAGATTTATATGGGAATTTCTTCTCTTTTGTCTTTTCCTAAATCCTCACCTGCAATGTAGTTACTGGCTCTATGCTTCTGAGAAAAATCACTCCACAGCCCTACTGGAAATACTTGGACAAGACTTGATAATCTGAGTCCATTCCAATGCCAACACTCTGGGGCCTGTGAGGGATGTTTTTTCCGAGTGTGCCAAATGCTTAGTGAGTATAATGTGCCTGGTGTGGTATGGCAAAATGTGCACAGGTTTTGGAATCAGGCTCAGGTAAGAATCCTGCATCTGCTACTTACCAACTGGGTGGCCTACTTTCTTTATCTATAAAATGAGAGGTTAAAAGTTCTATCTCATGAGATGAATGCAGAGACAACGCACCCGAAAAACTCAGCACCTGGATCTGGCATTTGGAAAGCACTCAACAAAAGATAGTTCCTCCTATCTTTCTTCCTTTCGGTTTATGAAAACGAGTTTCACAAACATTTTCAGAATGAAAATTTCACAGATTGTCATGATCAAGTTTTTCCTTTTCAAGAATTTAAGGATGAGCTCAGGTGTAGTATCATATGTATTTTATTTATTTCGTGTATTTATTTTATTTTGGCTTCATTTTCGATATAGGCAGTAAAGGAGAAGCACAAAATCAAATATGACATCACCTTCTAAGCATAACCTTTTCGGTGAGACTCAAGGTGAAAAGAGATAATGAGTATTTTCTTCTTATAAATCTGGTTCTTCTATTTGTTAATCCCCTTAATCTTGCTGGTGTGGAGTTTGGGCCCCTCCTGCTCAGAGAGATTGGTGGCCAGCTCTGGTATGAGACAAGATTGCTCTTATGAAGCAGTGCTCAGGGAAAGCAAGGAAATGGGAAGGAGAGAAGGTGTCATGTCCTTTTAATACTTGTGGTAGGATGGCCTACCCTTTCTGTTGCAAGGATATTTTAAGGCAATGGTTTCCTGCCCTGGCTTTCTGGGGTCACAAAGAATTAATTCATTAATTTTGATTAATATATTTTCTTACCAAAATATAATATCTAATGAAAGCTAAAGGTGGTGAAATAGGAACTATCACGCATAGGGGATTGTAATTAGAACAAGTCTTTTGAAAATTAATTTGGCAATTGAGTATCAAGTTTTTAAATATTTCTACTCTTTGGGAATTCTCTTTCTGGGAACCTATCTTATTTGGGTGTCTAATTAAGGAAACAGATGTGTGCACAAAGAAGCTTATCACAGTGTTATTTTATAATAGTAAAAAATACCAGGAACAACCTAATAACAGAAGAGTTATATGCACTATATAGTGCATCAACAGATAGAGCCACTGACAAGGAATTTGTGAAAACCTGAGCAGAAAAGCATATACACAATCTCATTAAAATTTTACACACACACACACACACACACACACAGACACACACAAGCAAAATGTGACATTCACAATTCAAAAGATCTGGAAGGAAATATATCAAACTTTGGTAGTGATAAGCTTTTGGTGACAAGATTTTGAGTGATTTTCCTTTCTTATGTTAACTATGGAAATTACTTGTTATTTTCAGGTCCATCATAAGGACTATAATATAAAACTTTTTCTAAGTAGCAAACCATCATCATCATGTTCTTCATCTTGCTTTATAAGGAAGTAAACAAAAATGCCAGGTGAGATCTCTTTGGTTTGGTCCGATGGCCAAAAGTGGGATAATTTAAGATAAAAAATGCAATGAATTGTATTAATTCCAATAAAAGGATGGGGCTGATTGGGGAGGAGCCTGCTTCCTACTCTCCCCACCAGGATTTCTGTTATGCTTGAAGAAGAGGAAAGGGGTTACTTTTACCAGGGACACTGAAATCCTGGTGCAGGTGCATTCAATACTATGCATTTTCTTCATTCTTAGTGCCATGATTATTAAAAAAAAGAGAACAAAATTTTTTAAATGTCTAGTATTTATTAGCCACTTTCTAGGTACAGGCACTATTTTGCTATTTATGTCCATATTTCATCTTCCTCAGGCTTGCAAAAAGTCTTAGTGAAAGGAACTATTGTCTCCTTTCTTTTGCCCTCACCTGTTGTATATTCTTCTACCCACACAGAGAGTGCCTTCTGGGGATAAAAGTGATTTGGATGGGGAAAAAATTGGGCAGACTAGGCTCCTTTTCATTATAAAACAAAGCCTGCTTGGTGCCTGAGAGTTGACTGGGGAGGCGTCTTCAGGTGGCCAGGACAGGAAGGTTCTGGAAAGAGGGCACCAGAAAATCCCACAGGCCTTCTCCCTGTGATGTGGCTTTATTTGCTTTACAGGCTGCAGGCATATTTGCTGACGTCAAAAGTTTAAAATAATAATAGTGAAAAGAAAAACAGACCTTTTCTGCCAGGCAGTCCTTTTCTGCCAAACTTCTGTGTTCTCTTTTGAGTTAATAAATGTCCAAGAACCAACTCCCTACCACCCTGGGGGGGGAGGGGGAAGCACAATAATTTTAAAACCACTAGGTCAGCCCATTGCCAGCATAAACCATTCAGACAAGTAGCGTTTGTCACACTCTAATGAGGATTTTACCTTTGCCTCAAAAGAAAAGCTATCATTAGGCTTTGTGTTTATGGGATCAAATGATTGTCTAGGGACAGTGGGTTTCTTTTGGTCCCTTCCTCATTTTAATCATGCTCAAGACCAAATACATAGATGTTTTCTGCATCAGACGAAACTAAAAAACCATAATTATGCCCGCTAATGTCTTTTGAAAACATCAATTAAGAAACCGGCCTTTTAATTCCCATTTTGCTTGAAAATTTGTGAATATCCACACATGTTGTAATGGCATGGAGGGGGATTGCTGACTCTTAAAAAGAGATACCCCAAAAGGCTTCACGAGGTCAGGTGAGCAGGCCCCCCGATGGCCACAAGTGGACAAAATATCTCTCCAAGAAAAGAAACCTCTATAAAGCAAGACCTCTGAAGTTATCTTCACATGTAGTGTTGAAACTGGAGCCAGCCCCTCCTGGGTTAGGTTGATACCAGGCTTCTGCACCACGCTGGCACCACACACACACCCCATTGTTAACACCTCCTCAGGACAGATTAGATCCCACATTCCTCAGAAGTACTGGGCTCCAGAGGGAACACGGCCAGCAGGCTCCTTCCACAGGGGCAACAACTAGCTACAACTGATAAGTTTTCATTGAAATAACTGCAACAATTACACTGAGTCCCCACCAGGGCTGTCTCCAGCTATCTAGGGATGTTGCACTTGCATCTCCTGGCGTGTGCAAAGGCGTGTGTCAGACGCGAGTAATTCGAGCCAAATCATTAGCTCCCTTTTATATGCTTTTTATCTATGGCTAAATGCTCTTGTTAATCCAATTGTTCACCCAAGGTGTACTATTAGATTGATTGCATTTTTTCTTTTCTGGGCCTCATCTAGTAAATCCTGGTATTTACACTACCTCGATTTCAGTTTGGACAAGTAACTAATTAATCCCTGACCAAAGATACTAAAGTTAGACTTGGGTTTGGGTAAAATGTGTTGAGGTTATGGTTGGTTTTAATCATATAGCTCAGTTCAAAAACTGAACACTAACAAAAATCTCTGCTTTCAAATCTTAGTTTCAATGAGAGTACTCGTTAAACAGCAAGTATAGCTGTACTTAACTTGAATTCTAAAACTTCCCTTTTATTTTTTATGAAATAAGTGATTGAGTGGATGAAGTGGCAATATGAATGAAAGAACAACACACATACCTTTGTAGGAGCAAATCCCAAAGGCCCAGATTAAATTTTAACCAAGGATTATGTCTGCCAGGAATTTATATCTCAAAAGGTATATGTTTGGCTTTTGTAATAATAAAAGGTTATTTTGGGAAAAGAATCCCATTTTAACATATTCTATATTTACTAGGAGAAAATATGGGGTTAGGTTTCAATAGTTTAGACTTTGAAAGAAAGTAACAGGCAAACAGCTTAGCAGATGAATAATTCTCAGATCTACAGAAATGTAAACAGCCAGGATTTTAGTGCCTGTGGGTTTTATCGAAGATGTAAGTAAGGCTGAGACCAACACCAGTGAGTCCTCTTTGGCTAGTTTTAACACGTTCACAATCACAATTAACATTCAAGGAATTTCCTTTTCCTCCAAGTTTCTTTTAAAAGCACTTTATGCTACAACCTAAAATTCTAGCTGCCATCAGTCCTTCCCATACAGAAGAGTGGTGAAATTTCCATAATACCTTCTTTTCTGTTTTTTAAAATGGGCTCGGACCACGTCAATTTTCCTGGAGTGGTTGTTTTCTGGTATAGAGGTTCTCACCTCTTCCCTCCCTCCTTTTCCTAAAAGAGCTTTGATTGGAGATACTGGTTCCTCGTCCTGCACCCTCCTTCCTCCACACTCACCCTCAACCCGAGGAGCGCCGCTGCCAGGCAGGGGTCCTGAGCCCTTCCCAGCCCAGTCGGAGAGCTGCTACCCGGCAGGAGCTCCGGCCCGCTAGCAGGCCGGTTTCACGTCCCTGAACCGGCAGGGCGGGGGCTTTCTACAAGAAAGGGAAAAGCTTCCGTCTCCCTCTCCAGCCCTGCTCCTCCTATACAAGGGATTCGCACACGGGCACCGAGTCTGAGTCCTGGCTGTGCATAGAGCTCAGCCCCGTGTCCGAGTCCTCGTCGTTGCCAGGACAGTTTTTGGCCAGTCCGCGGGCCTGGTCCACCCACACCTCAGCGCAGGCCTGAGGCCTGGGTTCCCTCAAGGGTCCGCCAGAGCCGGTAGTCCCCTCAGGAGATACCGTCAACTCCAACGTGTGCAAAGTCTGCAGAAGGCCCTGCAACTCGCGCTCCTTGCTGTCCCACTGCTGCTGGCTGTAATTCAAGTCCGACTTGACGGCTTCCAGGTCCGTGTTGAGCCGGAGCCCAATGTAGAGGCTGGTGCTGAGCTGAGTCCGGACCCGCTCCTGCTCCAGCAACAGCTCGCCGTCGGGGCTGCCGTCCGGCTCCGGGGACTCCTCCCGAGCTGCGAGCTCCTCCTGGCGCCGCCGCATCCACCTCTGGTTCAGCTCCTCCTGAATCTCGGCGGAGAGGCGCTCGAGCAACTCCTCCTGCTGGGCTCGCTGCTCCTGCAGCCGCAGCAGGTCGTCGCAGCGCCGGGCCAGCTCTTCCAGCGCCTCTGCCTGAGCCTCACCGTCCAGGGACACTGCCGCCGCCGGAGCCTCCGTAGCCGCCGCCTCTGGCTCCTCTCCTGGGCTTGGCCCGTCGAGCTCGATGCCTGAGCCCACCAAGTAGGTTTCCTGCACGTAGTTGACTCCGTGCCGCCGCATACGGTCCAGGTGCACCTTGGCCTCGTAGCGATCGATCTCGCGGTCTAGCTCCCGGAGCCGCTGCACCTGCTGACGGATGGTGTGGTCCTGGGAAAGCACCAAATGCACCAGCGTCTCCATGCGCTCCACCGACACGCTCTCAGTGGCGTGCGACGACGACGAGCAGGAAGAAGCGGTGGACGACGAAGTGGAGGAACAGGGCGACGACAACTGCTGCTGGCGCCGGCGATTGAGCTTGGCCAGCTTGCGGAAGGCCTTGCGCACCACCCGCCGCTGCTTCTCCTGCGTCATGGCCAGGCTAGGCCTTGGCGGGACCCCCCGAGCTGAGCAGGGGCGCTCTCGGCTGAGCACCACGCGCGCTTCGGCGCTGCGCGGACCCGTGTTGGGCAGCGATGCCTCGCTGCGCACCAGCACGAAGCGCACATTCTCCTGCTCGTCGCCCCAGGCCGCCCACAGGCGCAAGATGCGCGTCTTGTTGGGCAGAATGCGTTCAAAGCCTCGCCACTTCTCCACGATACAATAGCACTGCGGAGGCCCACACAACAAGCCTGGCGGCAGCGTCTCATCGTCGTCGTCGTCGTCGTCATCGTCCAGGGCTTCTGGGAGCTCCTCTGGGCCTGGGGGGTCGCTGACCGTCCCCCGCCGCCGGCCACGCCGCTGCTTCCGTCGTCGCCGGCAGCCGTCTTCCAACAGCACACGCACCACGTCCGAGCAAGTAGTGCGACGAGAGAGCCCTGACACCAGCTTCTCCTCCTGGCAGATCCATACCGATATCTTCTTCTCTGAATGATCCATGGTGCAATTGGGACGCAGATGGCGGGTCGGGGCCCGCTGGGGCGGCAGGAACAGCTGGCAGCCCGGCAGCTCTGGGAAAGAATAGGAGCCCGAGACCCTCGTCCCTGTCAGCACTGGCCCTTTTCCTCAGCTGTGCACCACGGCAAGCGCGGGCGTGAGCTGGAGCGACTGCGGCTGGGATCGGCCCGGACGGCGCGCGCTCCCAGGGCAGTGCGCCGGGTATCAGACTCCCGCCGCTGTGGCTCTGCGCAAGGTTGCTGGGGCCTCGGGGTTTTGCTCCTCCTTCCATAGCTCCTCCCCCTCCCGCCCCCAGCGCCCAGAGAAGTGGCCGAATTCCGGAGGCGCGGCTCCCAGACCCGCCCCTCTGCAGTGCCGTTCGCGTCAGGAGTTTCGGCCCCCTCCACAAACTCGCCGCTAGACTGCGCGTGGGCTCGAGGGAGGACTCGAGGTCCCCTCCGCTGCAGAGCCTGGCGTCCGTGCCTAGTCAGGGATCATCTCTGCGCCTTCCCTAGCCTCACTGGCTCCTCTCCTTGTGTCTAGGGCTCCCTGGACGATGTTGACAAGACTTTCCCGCGCTCCCAGACAAGGTGTCTGGTCCTTCAAGGCAGCGCCCCCTGGGGAATGCCCCGCCTCCTCCTCCCCACCCCGGGGCAGGCAGGGAAACCAAGGCACTCAGGGTCTCTAACACAGACTCTATAACCGCATTGCGTGACTTCCAGCTGGGAGCTGTAAATGCTGCCTTTAACGTGGAAGGCCTTCCAGGCTTCCTAGTCTGGAAGCAGTATTTGCATATTTAAGAAGAACAAGATATGGCAGTTCACTTTGTGAACAAGTGTAGATGCAGTCACGTGAAGGACAGAGATACATTCTGAGAAATGCGCCCTTGGGCAATTTCATGGTTGTAGGTACATCACAAAATGCACTTACAACACCATCCTAGATTTATAGCCTTCTACACTCCTAGGCAGTATGGTATAGCTTATTGCTTCTAGCTACAAACCTGTACAACATGTTACTGTACTGAACACTGTATGTAATTGTAACAGTGGTGTTTGTGTATTTAAACACAGAAAGGGTACAGTAAGAATAAAGTATAAAAGATAAAAAATGGTACATCTGTATAGGGCACTTACCATGAACGGAGCACGCAGGACTAGAAGTCGCTCTGGGTGAGTCACTGAATGGGTAGTGAGCAGATAAGAAGGACGAGGACGTTACTCTTGTCCATAAAATGTGGTTGCCACCAATTCAATTCCAACAGGAGTCCCCAATCTGAGGCATGGTAAATAAAAGGAGAAACTATGCAGGTGAACAGTTCGAAAACTGGGAAACGTAGCCTCTGGTGAAAACTGAAAATGCTCTTCCAAAGACAACTGGGAGAGTGAGCCTGACTTGGTCCCTGATTGGTCCATTTTTTATGCAAATGAGGAATCCAAGATTTGTTGGTTCAAATAGCACTGTCCTGATTGGTTGGAGACATGAATTCTGATTGGTCATTATGGAGCTGCTCTGATTGGTCAGTAAAGATGCAAATAAGGCTATAGCTCTGTAGTTCTGATTGGACAGCGCAGGCCTCAGCCGATTGGTTGAAAGATGAATCCAGGAACACCTTTATAAGGATTGGCTTACAGGGCAGGAACATAACGTAGGAGGCTGGCAGTTCAGTCTGTGGCTCTTCCCTATAATGCCATGTCGGTGAGAGGCCCCTGTTAGCAATGGCTGCTAGACTCTGATTATAAATTTGAGCCCGATTAACCACATGGAGTCCTTCTTGGCATGTATGATCCTTCTCAGGGTCAACACTGTACCCTACTGTAGAACTTATAAACACTGTACACTTAGTCTGTGCTAAATTTATAAGACAACAGGAGAGTAAACCAAGCACAAGAGAAAATGATGTTTCAAGAGACTTGGTAAGCACGATCTGTAATATGCTGCTGCTGGTGTAACACAGCATACTGTTTTACAGCAAACTTTTTTTTTAGTAAGTACAAAGAGTATACTATAATGATAAAAAGTATAGTACATACATAAACCAGTCACAGTTGTTTATTATCATTATCAAGTATCATGTACTATACATCATTGTGTATGTTATACTTTTATATAGCTGGCAGCACAGTAGGTTTGTTTACACCAGCATCACTACAAACATATGAGTAATGGCTACAAGGTCACTAGGCAAGAGGAATTTTTCAGTTCCATTATAATTTTATGTGACCACTGTTATATACAAAGTCAGTCCATTGTTAACTGAAACATCAGTTATGCAGTGCATGACTGTGGAAAGGTCTGGGCTGGACGGGGATATTTAGAGGCTGCTCCCAGTTTCCCACGGGGTCATGTCAGTGGCTCCCCATATCACCTAAGCTTCCCAAAGTCTTCTTGGCAGGGGGACTCCTGATTCTACTGAGAGTTCAAGGCCCAGACCCAAGTCACAAGCTCTTTTTCCACATCCTGCATTACATAAAGGGAAGCCTAGTTATTACCATAACAGCTCCTGGCATTTTCTAACACCTGATGTGGTCAAGAAGAGACAGGAGCCAAGTTTCACAGTTCAAGAGAACCAAGAGCACAATGCAAATGCTCTTTTTTCCTCCTCAGATGCTGGTGAGGATGGTCTTTGTGGGCAAGGCTAGCCTTCAGTTTAACGTTGTGAGCACAAGTCTGATAAGGTCACTCCCTTGCTTCAAGACTTGGATGGCTCCCCCTTGTCTGCTGAATGATGTGATTTTATTCATTCACTCAGTAAATACGTATATTAAGTACCTACTGTGCTCCAGGCACTGTGCTGGGGATTTGATGATGAACAAATCACAGTTCCAGCCTCCAAGAACTCACGATGGAGTGGAGAGTACAGCTGAGTAAATATTTCTAAACAGAGTTTTCTGTCATCATCTCAGGAAGAGCTTGAGATGCTAGGGGAATGCTGGAGTAGCATGCTGCCCAGTCTGGAAGAGTCAAGGAAGGCTTCCCTGGTGAGGTGGCATTTTAGGCAAGACCAGATGCACCATGAGTCTGCCAAAGGGAAAACAGATGGAGGGGAGGAGGCAGTCAGCATTCCAGGCAGAAGGAACCTTATGTGCAAAGTCAAGCTATGAAAAAAACATGGCAGTGACTGGAGCTTCAAGGAGTTTAAGTGAGAGGAGTGGCTAAGAATGGGGTTGGATGAATGAGTGAGTAGGAGCTGGATCAAGAAGGATCTTTAATTCAATGCCTTCATATGTGGACCTATCCCAAAGGCAGGAAAAAGCCATAGAATGCTGATCCTGAGGTCACACTGGATTGAGGGGGGATTTCCATCTCCCCAGAATGAAGGGTGTGTTTGTGTGTAAGGGGGGAGTCTCAAATCTTTCTCAGCCCACTCCCCAGCTCTGCCCTCCTCTGCTTTGATATCCTCTTCTCTTTCCTTTCTCACACATGGTTATTAGAGCTTTGTTATCAGCTGCCATCCTTATTGGATTTTAAGTCCTATAAGGGTAGATAGAGATCATATCTGTTTTGCTCACTTTTGAACCCTCTTCATTTAGCACAGTGCCTGGCACATTCTAGGTTTGCTCTGTTAAATAAATGGATGAAGAAATGAATCCTACATTATAGTAAGTCAACACCTCACTCATCCAGACCAGCACCTGCATCTTGATGCGTCGTATGTTTGTACATGTTTTCCCCACTGATTAGAATCCCTCTTAACTGAAAAATTCCTAGTCATCCTTCAGAAGCTCAGCTCTGGGAATCCTTTTTTACCTCTTCCAAGAACTCGTTCCTTAATGTAGAGGTTTATATTGTGTTGTACTTCATTTTTAAATGTTTACTCTGTAAGACATCCCTGTTGGAGAGTGTGTATTGAGAATCTTATTTACACTGTGGTCTCCTGTGCCGAGAGAGTAGCTGGCACATAGTAGGCTCTTGATCTTCCTCAGTGCTGTAAAGGAACACTAAAACTAATAATATCTAAGGTGTTGTGCTACCCCCAATGTTATTATAATTTCTTCCTAGAGACAGACAGATACATGGAATTCTTGTTGTAGGAATGATATGTATGAAATCCCTGCTTGGGTAATTAAAGGGCAGAGTGATCAAGGGGACCTGAGGAGGTCGAAGAAAGTGTGGTTTCATTAAGTAGAGAGAAGGGGCTGGGGATCTCTTTGGTGGGAGAAATTACATGCATTTAAATGTTAAGGTGGGTATGCACAGGGTTGTGCACTAGTGTTTCAGAGCGCAGGTTCTGCGGTCACCTGCTTAGATTGGAATACCAGCTATAAGCTTCCTAAGCTTTAATTTGCTTACCTGGGGAAACAAAGAGAATAGAACCTTCCCTATAGAGCTGCCAAGAACATGAAATGAAATACAACATATAAAAGATTTAGCACAGTGTCTGGCACATAGCAATCGCTCAATAAAACATTGCTGGCTTCTTGAGTACCTATTCCATGCTGTGTCCTGGGCTAGGCATAAGGATACTGCAGTGAACTAGATAGGTATGTTCCCTGTCCTTACAGAGCTCACAGTCAGGACTAGTTTGGTGTTTGATTAGAAATGTATTTGTTAAGATTAGGCTAGGCTAAAGTGATAAAATAAAACACGTATCATGGCTCAAACATAACAAAGTTTTATTTTCATTCACATAATAGTCAAAATTAGGTGCTCTGGTTAGGAGGTGACTTTTTTCCAGAAAATGATATAGGGACCTTGGCTCCCTCCATCTTGTGGCTCCAGAATCCCCTAGACTTTGTCATCTTTACCCAGGCAGAGGAAAAAGAGAGGAGGAGGGGCCACACCCTCTTCCTGGAGAACTTGGCCAGGAAATGGAGCACACCACTTCTGCTCATTGGCTAGAAGAAGCCAGTCACATGGCCACTTGTAATGGCAAGGGAGGCTGGAAATGCAGTGAGTATGTCAAAAGAAGAGGAAGTGAATTTTTATGAACAGCTGGCTACCTACTTTAGGGTCTTTATAAGAAACAGGAGATAATGCAGAGATAGGAATTCCAAAAGTCTATAGTTGGCAAACAAGTAGTCCAAAGGCCACTTTTGACTGTTTTTGACAGAA